GTTGTACCAATAAGGCTTAATCTTACATATATGGAACATGAACTTTTTAAGTCTATCAATGGAATCCTTTTACCCGGAGGAGACTCTGATCTTGAGACGTCAAATTATGCCAAAGTCTCCAAAATATTTTATGAGTTGTCCAAAAAGAGTTTTGATGATGGAGACCATTTTCCTGTGTGGGGCACCTGCCTTGGATTTGAGGAACTGTCCTATCTGATCAGTGAGGAAATGTTAACCGTGACAAAGACTGAGAATAGCACATTGCCCCTGAGCTTCACTAAAGGTGCATCAAAGGGTAGAATGTTCCAGAATTTTCCTCCCGACTTGTTGCGGTCATTAGCAGCTGAACCCCTGACTGCAAATTTCCACACGTGGAGGCTGTCTGTGAAGAATTTTACAATGAATAAAAAGTTAAATAAGTTTTTTAATGTACTAACTACAAATACAGATGGTACTACTGAATTCATTTCATCAATGGAAGGATATAAGTATCCAGTATATGCTGTCCAGGGGCATCCAGAGAAAGCACCTTATGAATGGAAAAATGTAGCAAGCATTTCCCATGCACCTAATGCTGTGAGGACTGCATTTTATTGAGCAGAGTTTTCTGTTTCTGAAGCTCGGAGAAAACAGTCATCACTTTGAATCTCTGTCTAAAGAGACGAAATCCCTGATTTATCAGTTCCCTGTAATTTACACTGGAAATTATTCTTTATTTCAGCAGTGTTATGTGTTTCCCTGAAAGTTTTCAATGTATTAATGAGCAGTTTGGGATAATTCCTTGATGAAATTGTCAAAATTATTTGCTACTCATGATATCACTAGAAAAACACAGATTTCTTTCCTATGTGGATGACTGATTCTTTTTTTCAGATTGGGTTTCCTCCCTATGTTTCTGTAGTTGCTTCTTTACTTCAGATGCTATGAGTTCTGAGAATTCTTTTTTTATTTCAGGAAAGAACTGCACTCTGAGTTCCTCTATATCTTTCTGCTGTTGTTTATTTACTATCGACGCTATTAATTCATGCATCTGAGCTGAGCTAGTGTACTCCGCACTTGTTCTGAGTGGGCATTGGGTTTCCTCTATATGTTTCTGCATTTGATTCTTTACTGAAGATGTTATTAATTCAGGGATTTCTTTTGTTATTTCCAATCTGAGTTCCTCTATACCTTTCTGCAGCTGTATTTTTATTTCAGAAGCTGTTGATTCATTGCTTTCAGCTGTGTGATTCCCAATTTGTTCTGTGTTAGTGTCCTCTGCACTTGTTACAGGTGGGCTTGGATTCTGAGGTTGCATTTTGTT